GGTACGCAAGATCAAAACATATGGCCTTATTGGAACCTTACCACGTCTGGTACCACCGGACTTATCGTCTATCTCACACATTAAGCTCCACCAAAGTTTCCTGGATTTTGGATTCCGTGAATTGATCGGCCCTGGCACGAATTTGAAGTCCTGTAAGTATTTCTACACCGAGGACAGCGCTGGATACAGTTGGGCACCTCTTTTCTGCATCAAGTCATTCATGGATGCCATTTCCTCTAAGGCATATTCCCTTGAAACTCTTCATCTCAACTATTTGCGGGCACGTAACCTTGACACTAGCAGCGACGAGTCGATCGGAATGTTAAATGAAGTCCGTGTAGTAAACTTTACAGCTCCCCATGCACACCTTAGAACTGGACGACATAGAGCATCCCGCATCAGAGCACGACATACTTGACTGTACTTCAGGTCATTAAGTAGCTTGATAACTTGGTATTGTAGCATGTAAGCCCAGGGGTATTGGAATCCTAGGGTAGGCCAATGATTCCCAATAGTAATTTTGATCAACGATAGGTAATATTTCCCGTTTTAAAATGCAGACATACCGAAAATATTTAGAACCCATCAACGTGAGTCCCAAGCTCCATCTCAACCCCAACATCAAGCACCTTCTTCCCAACAACAAGATCCATAAGTCCCATACCAACACATTTATACACAACATTACAACCAGCAGGAACATCAACCGCCCCCTCCACAATCCCCTCCGCCCCCAAGAGATCCCCCATCTCAATCAACTGCTCCTCCCCAAGACCAGCAGTAATCAACTCCCCAGCCTCCTCAAGACAAGCCGTCTTCGAATCGACATAAACCTTCCCACCACCCGAAAGCAACGTCTCAGTATCAATCTCATGCATATTCGGCTTATACGAGCCAATAAGCGAGATAAACCTCTGCTTAGGATTCTTCTGCAACGCCGCATATCCGAAATTCGGCACCGTAGCAGGCGTACAACTAAAGATAACATCGGCAGCCGAAAGTTCCTCCCCAAGCCTCTGCTCATAATCATCAACACCCTCCTTAGCAAGCGTGCCAAAAGCAACGCCGGGATAAGTGCCCCGCAATTCAGAAACAACATCCCTCTCCATCTCGGCGAGTCTCTTCGCACCGCGATTCACAAACGTCACCTGTCGCACCTGTTCGGGGTACAGCAGTAGCGCAAGACGCGCATGCCACTCTGCCTGGCGTCCGCTGCCGAGAACAAGCACGTTGTCCTTGCGGAGGGTTGTGCAGCGCACGAAGAGGGTCATTGTTGCTAGTGCGGTGCGGAAGGCTGTTACTTCTGCTGCGGCTAGCAGGCCTTGCAGCCGGCCTTCCGGGTTGAAGATGTTGATTACGCCTTGAATTCCCGATGGACTTGCTGTTACCACTTTTATGCCGGTGGAGGCGGTGTCCGATACCGGCATGAAGATGCAGGTGTTGTCATTGCTTGTGGTGAAGACTGTGCGGAGAGGTTGGTGGATTTTTTTGGATGATGCTGGGGTTGAGGGGTTTGATTCTTTAGTTATGCTGATCAAGGCATTGCCGAGTGTTGTGATGAAGTCGCGGCATTGGTCTTGTGTTAGACTGCGGAAGATCTTGGAGACGTTTGGTTCGGAGAGGATATGCATTTTGGGTGTTTGATTGTGGTTTGTGAAATGCTTGAAGGAGTCTTGTCAAATTTCCTTTGTTTAAAAGAAGTAAATGAGATGCCTCTTGGGGCGATAAGTAGAATACATGGGGCAGACCATCGGATGGTCCCTCCGAAACATACAAAGCGACCTCGGGAGGGGCAACCTGGTGGGGACTGGATTCTAAATGATTCGACCTCAATCATGCCGAACATTATCAGAGTATCTCTCTGGTCAGGTTTCTTAATTTGATTGCTATCTTGACTAAAAGATATTCTAAGGATAAAAGCACTTCATTTTCAAGAATTGATTTCATTGATTATCATCACAATGGCCTTCTTAAGGTTCTCATAAAGTAGCAGCAACGCCATGAAAAATGCACCCAGCTAGACGCAAACAAAAACGCAGCAAAACAGCCCGTAGGCTGCTAAGGAAAGACGAAACGATCTATGTAGCCTCCGAAAAGGAAAATTAGGACTCGGATCTCACTTGCTGCTACTGAAAGCGTTGCCAATACGACGCTTCAACTCAGCGATCATAGCGACCTGAGAGTCCTTAGTACGGCCAACAGCCTCAGTGTTCTCGACGGCGCGACGAAGCAAGAAGCCCATGCATTCCTGAACCGAGCCCCAGGTCAACAGCTTGAAGACGTTAGGAGCATCGATGGGGGTAGCGCCAACACTGTCCTCGGCACTCTCGAATCCTTGGAGCAATTCACAGCTAACCTCGTCAGCCATACCCTGGAGCTGGGCATAGCTGAGATCGACACCGTAGTCCTCGCCGCGGGTAGCCTGTTGCATGCGCAGAGCATGAGCCTTGCGAACAGACTCACGGTTGTGGGTAGCAATGATGACATTCACGGGAGGGAGTTCGGTAGGGGTGTCCTTTGAGGGAGCCTTGAGCATAGAGTTGTACTTGCGGGTAAGGAGAGACTCGACGACTTGATCGTAACACTCGTCCGTCTCCTCCTTCTCGGCCCAGACGATGTGGCGGGGCTCAGTCTTCATGTAAGCACCGCGGACGAGCTTGACACCAAGTGTGTATCCCTCAGCACGAGCAGTCTCAAGGTGGCGGGCAAGAGTGACAGGGGTAGAGCGCAGGTAAGCTTGGTAAGTTCCGTAGAAGATGGCACGGCCGGGGGTCTGTGAGTTGCAGTATTTCTGGTACTTCATGATCCAGGCCTCAATACCAGGCTGGACGGCCTGCTCTTCGGCGTCGACCAACAGGCGGACACCACGGGAGATGGCAAGATCGCAGACCTTCAGGATAGAGTTGTCCATGGTCTCAGTGGGCATAGTCTGAGACTGCAACAGGCGGAGGGCGTCAGTGCCCATTCCAGTGAACTTCAAAGCGACAAAGTCGCCCGGTTGAGCCATGTCGACTGTCTGGAGAGTGCCTTCCATCCAAATCTGAATCTCAGCCAGAGCGGCCTTCGCATCGTACGCGGCATCCGAGTTCTCGTCGACGAGAACCTCTCGGGCATATCCCAGGAGTACACCACGGCATCCGAGAGCTTTGATCTGGTTGATCGAATTTTGGACTTCGAGCTTGTTCTCGCCAGCGTTGAATTGTTTATAGATGGTGTGCTTAACAAGCATGTTCAGCATTGGGTTTTTGGAGACATCCCAGAATGCATTGCGGGGGTGGGCCAGCAAAGACAGGGTGTAGATGCATGGCTTGAGAAGTAGAGGTGACGAGGAAACAGACAGAACCAACAACGAGCGTAGAACGGATGACAACGGGAGCTTAGCCAGGGGTGCTGTCAGTGCCTTGCGCGGTAGCGCAGGCGGGGCTTTTGTTTGTGGTTGCCACACGTTGGAGGCTGAAACTGAGGCGACTGAAGATCGGGAGTTGCTGGTGTTGCTCACCAGTCTGGTGGTCTGGGCAGCGGCCTTGAGGGGCACACGCACGGAAGGTGCAGCCTTCATGGCCGACAGTTAGGATGTAGTATTTGAGATGATTAATGATATAATATGGAAGGGGGAGTAGCTCCGTAGTAAGTCAAGGGTGGAAGACTTAGAGTAAATGGTCGAAGAAAGAGAAGAGCCACGGTTGAAGGCGACCTTTTTAGATATGGTGATTATGTCGGTGGAACTCATTGGGTAAGAGGTAAAGAGCCGGTGGCAACCGCCAGGCACCGGTACGGTCAGCAGGCTCATCTAAACGGGCCGGGAGGGCCTGTCAGTTTTCATGCACTATAATCTATGGATTGACATTGCTATTATTCAAGTTTTTGTTTAAATTATACCAACTTTTAGAATATAAAACTGTAGCGCCATGAGGAACTATTAGGTACAGGGAGATCATTTGTGTCCGAGCAAGATTGAATGACGCTTTGATACTTTGATATTTGCCTCTTTACCCTTGCAATCTGCAGCCAACAGTAAGTTCGCAGATTTAACCCTGCCGAACGATCACGGGCCGGTTTGATATTGGACGGGCCCACTGATAAGCGATAAGCTCAATTTGACCGGGCCGGTCTATCTGCCCGCGTGACTCGCTGACTCGCTTCCGGTTACTTTCGGTTTAGTGCTTCCCAAGAATGTTCCAGTATGTTGCTCCAATGTGTTCCCAAGTGGATGCATTCAACATTCTAAGCTTTATGTCTGATTTTATTTAGAGCCACACCTGGGCAGGTCCGCCTATTTTACCCCGGATTCTTCCCCATCCACATATACACCACGTGATTCATGTGGCAAACGGGAGGCAATTGTTTAAAGTCAATTTAGCGCACCAATCGCAGACCACCCGGTGACTACTATACCTAAGAAGGTTTAAGCTAAGCAATAGAACAGCGCTAGAAGCTTTGAGGAATATTTATCGAGAGGCAATTTGTCAAGGATAAGATAAGAGCAATCTGACACGAGAATCCTGCAAAGATATGCAAAAAATCAAAACACGATAAGGCAGGAGCCAGCGAGACCAAGCTAGAACTAAACGGCAATGTGGGCGCCAATCACCTCTAGAAACACCACCGTTCCTCCCGTGATGGCGCGATCTATTTGGGAAATTGGGCATACTATTTCACATTGTTTGATGAAATCCACGGGTTCTTAATCACTCATTGGCCGAGGTAATTCATTCCCCCTTGAGTTTCTATTATCTTTCTAGAGAAGATTTGCTCCTATTGGAGCACTATCAAGGCGTATATTTTTATCCCATCGGTAGGCGGATCCCGAAAAGATAACAGCCCGAAGCCTACAGAGTAGCTTTGTCGTATAATAAAAATTATATCTTTCCCTGGATATTCAAGTTGCTCCATAGGTTTCTACGTTACCCAGAACTGCCCCTTGCGTCGCCGTTCCTCCTCTCTCCCCCGAGTTGAGTCCTAGATTGGTAAACATCCCTACTTCACTGCCTTCGCGCATCATGAAAGACGACTCATCGAAGAGTCTCGAGGCCGGGGTTCGCCCTGAGTCCCCGTATGATGACCCAAAAGCCATCCAGGGAGAGATTACAGCTCAAAACTCAAGCACTAAACGAGGTCTGAGCTCGCGTCATGTTCAATTCTTGGCTCTGGGTGGTTGTATCGGTACTGGTCTTTTTGTTGGCAGTGGTGCATCCCTGTCAACGGTTGGTCCTGGTAGGAATCCTACAGGAAATTTTGACTTAGTATGGGGCTAATATGTGATAGCTCCTTTGCTCATGGGTTATATTGTCATGTCAAGCATTGTCTACTTTGTCATGAACATGCTTGGTGAAATGACAACATATCTCCCCATCCAGGGTGTTTCTACACCTTATTTGATCACTCGGTTTACGGAGCCTAGTCTTGGATTTGCTATTGGTATGTCTACACCACTGTTAATGATTCAATAACTCGAATGCTAACCCAAATGCCCATCAGGATACAATTACTGGTAATTATCCCTTCTGTCAAGGTCCGCGTTGGTCAAACTAATGAATGTCACTATGTAGGTATTCATTTTCAATGTTGCTAGCATCAGAAGTCACTGCATGTGGCCTTGTCATTGAGTATTGGGATTCACCCGTCAACGTGGGTGTATGGATCGCAATCATTCTCGTTCGTGAGTACCCTGTGTGCGAATAATCCAGTATTTGTGATATCCTCTAACAGAATCACTTTAGTCGTTCTCCTTCTCAACATTATCGCGGTCTCTTGGTACGGTGAAGCTGAATTCTGGTTCGCATCACTCAAGATTATTGCGATCCTCGGTCTCATCATCTTGGGCATCGTACTGTTCTTCGGCGGAGGCCCTAACCATGACCGTCTCGGCTTCCGATACTGGAAAACTCCTGGCGCATTCGTGGAACCCTATTTGGTTCCGAGCATCAGCACAGGCCGGTTCCTGGCATTCTGGACTGCTATGATAAAGTGCGGATTCTCCTTCATTTTCTCTCCAGAGCTGATCACTGCTGCTGCCGGTGAGGCCGAGTCGCCACGTCGCAACATCCCCAAGGCGTCAAAGCGGTTTATCTACCGTCTGTTCGCATTTTATGTCCTGGGTAGCTTGGTCATTGGTGTGACGGTCGCATACAACGACAAGAACCTCCTACAGGGTGTCGCGAGTGGTGGCTCTGGTGCTGGCGCCAGTCCATTCGTTGTTGGTATCCAAAATGCTGGTATTACTGGGTTGAACCACGTTATCAATGCTGCCATTCTTACCTCTGCCTGCTCCTCGGGTAATTCTTGGCTCTTTGCTGGATCTCGCACACTTTACTCGCTCGCCGGTGAGGGTCAGGCTCCTGCATTTTTCCTTCGCTGCAACAAAAATGGTGTCCCGTACAATGCTGTATTGGCCACTTGGGCAATTGGTCTACTCTCTTTCCTGAATCTGTCTAACTCCGGTTCAACTGTGTTTTACTGGTTTACCAATATCACTACAATCGGAGGCTTCCTCGCTTGGGTCATCGTGGCAGTGGCATACTTGGTACGTTAAATCCTCCTTTTTTGGCTCCTTTTATGATAAACCTTACTAATAATATATCTTTTAGCGTTTCCGCAGTGCTTTGGATTTCCACGGGCTGCTCAGCTCGCGGCCCTTCATTACTCCTCTCCAGCCGTACGGCGCTTACTACGTTATGATCTTTGTGTCACTACTGGCTATTACCAACGGCTATACGATATTCTTCCCAGGTTCATTCACCGCGTCTGACTTCCTTGTCTCCTACATTGTCTTTGTGATCTTTTTCGTGCTGTATTTCGGCCACAAATTCTACTACAAGACACCGTGGATAGTCAAGGTGTCAGAACTTGACATTTTCAGTGGCAAGGACGAGATCGACCGATTTGAAGAAGAGGAGATCGTACCCCAGCCACGCAACTTGCTCGAGCGAGTGTGGTGGTGGATTGCATAGAGTCTATTTGATCTGCTGTTATTTTTGGAACGCTCCTATCTAGATGATGCTTTTACTGCGTATATGATACCATGTGGTGGAAAGATAGATATTAGAACATAATATTTCAATCAAGGGAATTATAGATATTGTTTTTCTATGGATTTTGTGTATTGTATAAATTTAGCGCCGATCAGTGGGTTTCATTCTATATTTTCTTTTTTCTAAAACAACTTAAATTACCACTATCAAGCCTATCTATATTTGCGGGGAACGTCAATTGTTTATTATCTTCTGTATTATCTCTTGACTAATAAGAACTTGAATTTGCAGGACAAAGGCCCGGTGAACAAGTTGATTTCTTGAAGCCGCGCTGATAGACGCCGGCCCGGTGAGATCCACCCGGGACAACAACCGGCCACTGCTGATTGGCTATCGCCTTCAGCCAGTCCCAGGCGTTGTACAATGCAGCTATGAGCTTCCCTGACCGGTAGTAGCCGGCCATTTTCACCATTCTTCCCCGCGTCTACTTCTTCTCCAAATCTTCCCTTCTCAATACTTGGAAGAGTTGATTCATTGTCTTCGTTTCAAACTATTATAATGATGTCCTCTATTCTGCGCACCCGCGCGCCCATTTCGCGCCTCGCATGCCGCATTCCGAGCTCTAGCACACGCTCCGTAGGCACTTACGCCACTTTCAAAGTGCCCCAGATTAACAATGAACCCAACGTAAGTTCGGTATTGGAATCAAGATTGTTTGAACACTCAGGCTAATTTTGAACCGTAAGAAACATTATATTCCTGGAACTCCGGACCGCAAGGGCCTCGAAGAGGCTTTGGCCAAGTACACGCAGAAGGCTCCTTTGAACGTGCCTCTGGTTGTTGCGGGCAAGGAGGTAAGCATTAAGAAGAAAGATAATATATTTACTGAAACAACAATTTCTAACTCATCACACAGCTCAAGGGATATGAAACCTTCACCCAGTCTAACCCCGCAACCCATGCTCCTGTGGCTACTTATTCCAACGCATCAAAGGCCGATGTTCAGTCCGCCATTGATTCAGCTCTCGCCGCTCGCAAGTCCTGGGCCGATACTCCTTTTTCCGAGCGCGCTAGCATCTTCCTCAAGGCCGCTGATCTTATTGCGACCAAGTACCGCTACGACATTATGGCCTTGACTATGCACGGACAGGGCAAGAACGCGTGGCAAGCCGAGATTGATTCCGCCGCTGAGCTCTGTGACTTCTTCCGATTCGGTGTGAAATACGCCGAGGAGCTTTACGCCCAGCAGCCTGCTCACAATGCTAACGGTGTGTGGAACCGTCTTGAGTACCGCCCTCTTGAGGGCTTCGTTTACGCGATCAGCCCCTTCAACTTCACCGCAATCGGTGGTAACTTGGCTGGTGCACCCGCTTTGATGGGTAATGTCGTGATCTGGAAGCCCTCGCCTTCCGCCATTGCCTCCAACTGGCTCGTACACCAGATCCTGCTTGAGGCCGGTCTCCCTAAGGACGTCATCCAGTTCGTTCCTGGTGACGCCGCGGAGGTGACCAACACCGTCCTTGAGAGCCGCGACTTCGCTGCTCTTCACTTCACCGGAAGTACTGATGTCTTCCGTATGCTCTACGGTAAGATCTCACAGGGTGTGGCGGACGGTAAATACCGCAGCTACCCCCGTATTGTGGGTGAGACTGGTGGCAAGAACTTCCACTTGGTGCACAAGTCCGCAGATGTCCGCAACGCTGCGGTCCAGACCGTGCGCGGTGCTTTCGAGTTCCAGGGCCAGAAGTGCAGTGCCACCTCCCGTGCCTACATTGCCTCTTCGATCGCCGAGGACTTCGCCCAGCAGGTCGTCGCTGAGGTGCAGAAGATTAACGTTGGCGAGCCATCTGAGTTCACCAACTTCTGCGGTCCCGTCATCCACGAGGCCTCATTCAACAAGCTGTCTGGTGTCATCGAGGAGGCCAAGAATGACCCCGAGCTTGAGCTACTCGTCGGTGGAACTTATGACTCTTCCGCTGGATGGTACATCCAGCCTACCGTCTACCGCACTACCAACCCTGACCACCCTCTGCTTTCCCGCGAACTTTTCGGTCCCATTCTGGTCATTCACGCCTACGACGACACCACCGACGCCGGCTTCACCAAGATTTGTGACAAGATCGATAGCACCAGCACCTACGCTCTGACCGGCTCTATCTTTGCCCAGGATCGTGCGGCTGTCCAGGTCGCCGATGAGGCTCTCCGCAACGCCGCTGGTAACTTCTACATCAACTGCAAGAGCACTGGTGCTGTTGTTGGCCAGCAGCCTTTCGGTGGTGCCCGTGCTAGCGGTACCAACGACAAGGCTGGCAGTGCCAACCTGATGTCCCGTTTCGTCAGCTTGCGCTCCGTCAAGGAGGAGTTCATTCCCACATACACCGTTGCGTACCCTAGCAACGCCAACTAATGGATAACGGTCCCCCATCCATGACTTTCGAGTTGATCTTGCGTGCTTTATGATCTCATTGGCGTCAATCTTGCATCCCACCCCGGCGTTTTCTTAAATTGTGTCCACGAATTTCCAAAGAATCCTCAAAATTTGTATTTATTCAAGTCTAATCAGACAATATGCCAAATGTGCCAACTATAACTTCAAAAACAATGTAACATTATAAACATTTCACGGGCAATTTGTTCCCCTCAATCCGTAGCACAATTCTTCAAAAACTTCTGCATACTATCCATAGCCTTCGCCGCAAAAGACCCCATCTCATACTTCTTCCCAGTTCCCTGTGGGCCACTATCGAAGATCTCCATTGAGAACCAACCCCGGAACCCCGTTTTCAACACAGCCCTCGCAACATCCTCAATGGGCAAATACCCACCGTCATACGGCATAGGCCTATAGTCATGACTCCAGCGACCCCTCGCCCTCAGCCCACCAATAGTCTTGTCCTCCAGAGGCGGCGACACCTTATACGCATCCGAGATCTGCAGCAGATAGATTTTATCACTGGGAATAGACCTCGCAAGCTCATCCATACTCACCTCAAACCGCTTCTGTAGCTCGGACTGCGAAACTGATTCAATCAGACCAGACTCGGTGGTTGGATCACCCCATTCATTTCCTGCAGTCTGGAATGTGTCCAAACACAACCCGCAATTCGGGCGATTTACGGCTTTCACTATCTCCCAGACTTCCTTCCACCCGGGCGCGTGGGTCGACCAGCACCAGTTCTCATAGGCGAGGCGGTAGTTACGTTTTGCGAGGATGTCGGATAAAGCCCGTAAGTCGGAGATGATCACGTCGCGTTCTTTCTTGATTAGGGGTTCCGGTGTGTCTGTTGCTCCGACCTAGGTATATTGTTAACATATTGGCCTTCCGAAGTTTGTGGTGCTCAGGGTATATATATCACCGTCATACCTGCAACAAATCTGTACCCACAACATTCATAATCTCCATCCAGCCTGTCGCTCTAGCATATGCCTCCTCACGATCCACGGAGCCCTTGACCCAGCCTTCGAAGTTTGAGAATGGCTGCAGCATCATGATTTTCAACCCGTTTTCTTCGCATAGTTTGCGGATTTGTTCTGCCACGGGCATAATCGCGGGGTAATTGTCTGGTGCGATTGGATTACCAGTGATGTGTGCGCCATAGTCTAAGATATCTGGGAAAGAGAGCTCGATTGCGCTAAAGCCTGCTTCGGTGATTGCTTGAAGGCGGCGCGGGAGTGTGTCGTTTGGGCTGCAGCCGATTGAGCAGGAAGCATATGAGAGGGGGATCTTTTGCAGGCTTGAGTGGGGGATTGACATTGTTCGTGTTTTTTCCCCCTTACTTCTAAGAACCGTCAAGCAAAAATGGTGCGGTGTATCGTGATCTTGTTGGGGGCTGTCTGTTTGTATCGGCAAACAGGCACAGCTCACTGGACGATGGGAGAGAGAATCTAAAAAATTACCATGCTAGGTGCCATTGGGTATATATTTGCCTCATTTGCTTCTGTTTCGCCCATTGCTTCTTCATTCTGTGTCCATCGTGATGTAATGTTGGACTGTGCTCTTGATTTGGGCCTGTGTCGTCACTGGTATATCAGCCCATATCAAGATTGGCCACAACCCGAGTCTTTCATAGACTACACATCAATCCATTTTGCCTCGATCGCCTCTTTAGCCCAAACATGCTTTTTATACAAGAGGAGGCGCACTCTGTTGACTGGTTCGTGGGGTCTCTGATTGCATATTGACAATTCCCCGGATCACAGATCCGATCGCCACAATTTTCTCGTTGAAGAAGAGCGAAAGTCATCCCAAACATCTGCAAGAAAATTTCTCTCTCATATTTTGCACACGAACTCCGAATCGCGACCCCTGAATGAGCTAGCCTTGTAGAGCAAAGACCAATCCACAATGCCACCCCCCATGAAAAGCATCGGCGTTGTCGGAGCCGGAAACATGGGCTCTATGATGACCCTCCGCTTCGCAGAACTCGGCCTCCAAGTCTCGGTTTGGGATATAGAAAAAAGAACGTCGATGACGTGGTTCATTACGCAAGAGACGACAAGGGCATCACAGGCCGAGTCGAAGGATTCTACGACATCAACAAATTCGCCAAAAGCCTAGAGGGCAAGTCCGACCGGAAACTATTCATGTTTTCTATCACGCACGGCGAGCCTGCAGACGAAGTACTTCGAATGCTGAAGCCCGATCTCAAAGAGGGCGATATCATCCTCGATGGTGGAAACGAGAACTACCGGAACACCGAGCGGCGCCAGAAAGAATGTGCCGCCATCGGTGTTGCCTGGATCGGAATGGGCGTTTCGGGTGGGTATCAGTCTGCGCGACGGGGACCTAGCCTTTCACCTGGAGGAGATGCTAAAGCTATCGAGCGTGTTATGCCATTCTTGGAGTCGTATGCGGCGCATGATCCCAAATCTGGGGTTCCGTGTGTGAAGCGTATGGGTCCCGGTGGATCGGGACACTACATCAAGATGGTCCATAATGGTATCGAGGGTGGTATGCTTTCTGTTCTTGCTGAGACATGGCAATACATGCATGAGGGGCTGGCCATGGAACATGGCAAAATCGGAGATGTCTTTGCTAAATGGAATGAGTCTGGCGAGCTGCGGGGTAACTACTTGATTAACATCGGTGCCGATATGTTGCACACAAAGAGAACACCCAAAGGGGATCGCAAAGGCGAGGGAGCTAGTCGGGATGATGGATATGTGCTTGACGATGTCCTCGACAAGGTAGTCCAGGACGACGATGACACTGAAGGAACTCCACTCTGGTGTCTCATGGAGTCTGCTGCCCGACATGTCTCTTGTCCGACGTTAGCTGCCGCCCATTACATGCGAATCTCAAGTGGAAATCGGATAGAGAGAGCGCGTGCTGCGAAGAAGCTGGAGATGCCCATGCCGAAACCGATCGAGGGAACCCGGGACCATGCAGTGATCATCGAAAACCTACGACAGGCTGTGTATTGCTCGTTCCTGGCATCTTTCTGTCAGGGCTTGGAGCTGATTTCCCGAGCTTCAATTGACGAAGGCTGGAATGTTAACTTGGGCGACTGTCTCCAGATTTGGCGAGCGGGATGTATCATTAAGTCGGAGCATATCGCGGATCTACTGCAGCCGCCACTTGCAGCCCACAATGAGTTGACGAATACCAAGTTTGTGGATGCGGTCGCACATGAGTTGCGCCAGAACTTCCACAGCCTCAAACAGGTGGTCATGGAGGGGACGATGTTTGATCAGTATATTCCGGCTCTGTCGGCTACTCTGGAATATCTCAAGTATGAGGGTGGATTGGGACTGCCGACCAAGTTCATGGAGGCGCAGATGGATTACTTCGGTGCCCACAACTATAACAAGCCTGGCATTCCAGGTGAGGATCCAGGACCAGTTCACAAGGGTCCTCATCATTATGAGTGGTTGCCGGCTTAGATCGGTTCGAATGTATCACAGGACTCATGTGTCACCCCAGATTGTATTTAGTATGTCAGATTTGTACATGTATCCAGCTACACAAAATATTATTTTCAAGATATTCCTACCCGATGATCAACTACCACGTTGATAGACATGTAGAGGTAGATGTAGATGTAGGTAGATGTGGTTAAAGTTTTATAGATCGCCCAAAAAGGCAAGTGGCGGCCTCAGGAACCGTCGGCACGTGGGTCGATCGACAACCAATCGGAGAAGCGCAGGGTTGGCAGCCTCAGAGATTTGAAGATGGCGCAAGATGCGCTGGATCTTAGGCTTACGTTCATTCTCTTCTATATCGAAACCATTTCGTCGAATTGAGTCCCCTAAACAACTCGCTCGCAGAATGGCTTCTCTCCCTAGCACATACGACGGTACGTGTACTTCTGCCTCTCTCACATTACTACCCCTCATACCCCCACTTCGATAGAAAGCTGACGATAGTGAATCTGACAGGGCCCGTCCCAATCGCTGTCATCGGCGGCACCGGTCTGCGCGAGCTGCCCGGCTTCACCCAGGTGGCTTCGCTGAATATCACAACCCCCTGGGGCGTTCCTTCCTCGCCCATCACCATTCTGCACCACGAGTGTAAGCACAACAACAAGGTTGTCGCCATCGCCTTCTTGAGCCGCCACGGTTTGCACCACCAGATCGCTCCTCATGAGGTTCCCGCTCGTGCCAATATCGCCGCCCTGCGCTCCATCGGTGTCCGCAGCATTATTGCTTTCTCTGCTGTCGGTAGTCTCCAGGAGGAAATCAAGCCCCGCGACTTTGTCATCCCCGACCAGGTCATTGACCGCACCAAGGGCGTGCGCCCGTGGACTTTCTTCGAGGGCGGTATTGTCGCTCACGTCCCCTTCGGTGACCCCTTCGATGAGGGTATCGCCAAGGTGGTGCGCGAGTGCGGACACAGCCTCGAGGGTGATGGTGTCGTCCTGCACGACCGTGGTACTCTGATCTGCATGGGTATGTGAAGCTGTTACCCTTTCTCACGATCAAACGTCGCTAACCATATCTTTTCCATCCTCTAGAGGGCCCTCAGTTCTCCACTCGCGCCGAGAGCAAGATGTACCGCTCATGGGGTGGCAGCGTCATTAACATGTCCGTCCTCCCCGAGGGCAAGCTGGCTCGCGAGGCTGAGATCGCCTACCAGATGATCTGCATGTCCACGGACTATGACTGCTGGCACGAGTCCACCGCTGATGTCACCGTCGAGATGGTCATGGGCAACATGAAGTCCAACGCTGACAACGCTCGCCGTTTCATCACGGCTGTCCTTGATGCCTTGGCTAGCGAGGAGCACGCCGAGCTTATCCAGGCTAAGCACCTGGCTGGCGGTATTAAGTTCGGCATTAGCACCCCTCAGGCTAACTGGAAGCCCGAGGCTAAGGAGAAGCTGGACTGGCTTTTCCCTGGCTACTGGTAGATCTAGAGGCTTTGGGATTCAGGCAGATACTGCTCTGCCTTGTCACTTAACGTACATGTGATGATAGCATATATGCATTATAGTTCTGAAATACCAACATGATAGACATGATTGATGTGGAACTTTGGGATGATATGACTTCACGTTTAGTTGATTCCACTTGCTTAGAACCGACGAGCATTTTTGTGCCGGGCAAAGTTTGTTATTAAAAACCCTTATTCTGGCTTGGATAGTCACAGGGTAGAGAAGATGGGTTGAGTACATACCTAGGTATCTACTTCTATCATTACCTTCTATCTGACATATCGATTCTTAATTAAACTACAACATAGTTAGATAATACTTTTCGATAGTATAGCTTTTATAGACCACTTTCGACGCCGCTATATACCGTATACTGTAAATTGAAGGAAGCTTTCCTACATAGTTACATACCATGCACATGTATAGTTGGCTGTTTATACAGCCTTGTCACTTTTTAGGTGGTGTGTTTGAATATTTTTGAGTACTCTTTTGAAGCGTCTTTTGTGTCTTTTCAGGTGTATACAAGGCGTTGAAAAAAGCACAGTTTGTGCAAGAGACTTTGAAATCACTATATTCCTCAAATTGCAGCTATTCCCACCCCACAAATATTCAGTTTCTTCGAATCCCCAACACTTAGAAATAGGCGTATACGGTAATTTATATGGTAGGAATATCTTCATTTCTTTCAAACACCTAGCCCTGGAAGCCAATTACCAATTCATCCTCTTGTCCTCGCCGGGCTTCTGGGAACAAAAGTCCAATTGCCCCCTGCCAGCCCGCTAGCCACACCATCAGCACCGAGTGCAACCTTGAGTCCATTGACACTGATCAAAGTCCCATTCGACCCTGGCAAAACAAGATCCCCTATTGTTCCAACTGGCGTACTGAAGCGCAGATGCTGGTACGTCCCATTGCGCACCTCAAAAGCAACTGCAAAGGAGCCAAGCTTCGTGACAAAACCCGCATCGACAAATGTCAGATCACCAGGCTGTGGAGCAATGGACCAGGTCGCTCCAGCAGCGGACTTCAACCGAAGCCCTGCGGCATAGTGCATAAGAATCGATGTCGGGCCGGTAGACCAGCCATGCGAATGCGACACGCGGGGGTCGTTAGTGTACGGCTCGTAATGCAGCGAACCGTCGGATGAGTACCCCTCAATGAAGGTTGAGTTGGTCATGCGTGGGTCATCCATCATGAAGCCCCATTCTAGACGGAGTAGTTCCAACGCAGAGTTGGGATTCCCGGCAATATAGTGCGCTTGCAGCTCAAAGCCACTGATGAAAGGTGATACAGTGCGTCCGGCCTCGGGGGCTGGCGCACCGTATTTTCCCCAGCGGTTGCGCAGAGACTGGGATATTTGTCGGATTTGGGATAGTGACTGGGTTAGGTTGGACTTCACGGCCCAGACATTGCCATCTTGAGGGTAGAGGGTCGTGGTCTCATTGTCACGGAAGAGGCCGGCGTCGTGGTCCCAGAGGTGCTGATTCGCGGCGGCCTTGATATTTCTTGCTTTGATGGTCCATATGTTCCCGACGGAGGTGTCGTTAAGGACGGCTGCCAGGATCAGGCCTTGATTGAGAACATAGTAAAGGAGGGAGTTAGCTTCGATGTTCTAGTCCCGTTAGCTCGTACTTTATGTCTCTCCATATCATGGTTCTCCATGATATTGACAGGAGAGAAATGGTAACGTACATGACCACCCATTCCAAAACGTAGCCAGTCCGAACTGGCAGTAATATTAGCCAGGCCAGTGGCGTCAACACTTGAAAGCGCATAGTCGATTCCTAGTTTGAACTGATTCCAATACTTAGACAACCACTCCAGGTCGCCAGAATAGAGATAGTATAGAGAAAGACCGTTGAGACTGTGACAGTGGTACGTGAAGCTGACGGTATCAGCGAAGGGCGGGCTAGCATACGGTAGACGGCCGTTTTCCTTCTGCAAACCAAACAGTAGCTCCAGTGCTACTTTGATGCTATATAGGTCATACGTGCTCACGCCGATCGCTTCCAGTGAGGTCGACATATCGCCGGGCCAAATCAGCCGGTCTCGCTTAGCGCCATCGGTGAGAACGCTGCTGCCATTTGAGATAGTGTAGTTGCTCCACCACTGGATGGTCTCCGGAAGCGCAATGGTATCTGTGCTAGTGATTATCTGAAACCACGGGAGAGCGTTGCCCATTGCTGGGTCAATCGTCGACAGCTGGTTTGTATATGCCCCAGCGTACCAAATCCGGTTTAATAGCTGGTCGTTTGAGTGAAAATAACCGGTATATGCACGCAAGTCCTGCTTCGGTGCGGCTGTGAAGTTGACCGTCACGAAATTCAGAGATACACTCCCCGTCGTATTGCTGACCAAAGTCATGTACCGGAAGCCGCCTCTGTTGTGCTTTTCTGCTGCCGTATAAGTACCGGGTCCATCTACAAGGGAGAACCAAAGAGGACTGTCAAATCCTGCGTCCGCTGTGGCATCGCAAGACTGCTCGCTGATGTATAGGCTCGACTCGGAAAAGGTTACGCCAATGAAGGCGTCAGAAGAAGCCGAAGCGACATTGACGGAAACTATCCCAGCAACATTCTTCTGGAAATCAAAAGTTACTGATGAGGGGCCGTTGAAGACAGCTGGGCGAACATCACTGGCATTGGTCAGAGATTCTGGGGTTGTGACAGAGCCATTTACGCCGATTACCGCTGGTGGAATCAAGGTTCTTGAGGGCGGTGCATAGATGTACTCGGCATAGGGTACAGCGAAACAAGCTGGAATGAAAAAGAAGGGGATGATCGATCCCATATTGAACGGTTTAAGCTACCCCAAAAACCGAGCATCTCAATAAGTATTTATGCTGGAGGGCATAGTGGTCTTCGTGTATGCAGACGCGGCCATAAAGAACATCGGGGTAACATTACCACGAGGTGAATGGTTTACCCCACAGAAATCGGTTATGATATCTGGCAGTTCTATGCCGATCGCGATGATCTCCCCAAATATGGGGAGTTGCTCGACCGAAGGCCGAATTGCTCATTCTCCCGAGAATATCCCCAAGTTTCACCGATATGTTAATCGACATCCTAATTTAAACTGGCACTGGGTACATCATTCGAGAGTGATGTTGGGCCATGGCCTTTACGATGAAGAACCGCACCCAGCGTAGATCGTCAATGCAGTCATCGTCCTCTGTCGCAGACCAAATTGATATGAAGTTATCTTTCGAAGTTCGGAGCCCCTTACGTAAGTTCTCCTCATGTGTGATCTCCTCTGTGGTCTCCTCTTCTGTGGTCTCCTCTTCTGTGGTCTCCTCATCTGTGGAATCGTCTGTGGAATCGTCTGTGTTTGTGTGTTCCGAGCTCATGCTGTCTCGCCTATGTGTATCTCCGGAAGGCAGTGGAAAGGTTTTTGTACGACCCATGCGTCCATTTCGAGCAAGCAGTCGAGTTTGTGATAGTCTTGAAGAGACCGGAAATCGTTCACGAGAAGCTCTATTTGGTAGCGTCTCCAACGGCAACACATCAGGGATGAGACCGACAAAGTCGTCACAGGTGAAAGAACGAGCCTCAATAGCCCCCAAAAAGGCATTCACATATTTTGTTTGGCCTTGGGAAATGGCCAGCTCCAAAGCGCTGACCGTGCCCGGACCTTTGAATAGGGGGTTGGCTCCCAGTCTGAGCAGCTCCTTTGTCAAGACCAGTGTCCTGATTTGTGTAGCTAGAAACAGAGCAGTTCGGCCATATGAGTCCACTTGATTGATATCAGCGCCATGATCGATGAGCAATTGTATTGATGCACGTGGATGTATGTGATCCAACCATGGATGCCCATCAGGCTGATAAGACTGCCGTAATTGTGCATGCTCATCATCCACATCAACGACCTTGCCATTCTCGTCTTTCAGTGTTTTCACGACTAGATGTAGCAACGGCGAGAGCTTCCCTCGATATATGTATGTCGAAGTAAGATCAAACCCCTTCTCAGCAAATAATTGAATTGTTTTTGCTTTCTTGTGAAGCACAGCGGCAACAAGCGCAGCCTTACAATGATCGTTCTCTGGATCAAGCTCCAAATTCCATTGTGCAAGTGCTACTTCGAATTGAGGTACAGGACAAACGGCCGCTGCATGCTCTAGGAACGAAGTAGATGCTTTCGATCGTTGTCTAAGAACGTCAAAGTATTTGGGTATCTTGTTGGATGGTTGGCTGCCCCCTTTCTCAAGCAGAAATTTGGTAACTTCCAAGTGGTCTCTACACGAAGCTTCAGGACCGGTGGAGCTTGTCGCCATCGAAATCAAAGTCTCCACGTCTTCTTTGGAGAGAAGGTCCAAGACACTTTGCATCAGAAGTATGAACTTGTTTGAAGAGCAAGCTGAATTCAATGCAACTTTGGCAAGGCTCATAAAATCCTGTTCTCCAGCCTTGCGGAGAAGCCTGAGTACAATGGACTTTTCTCCCTTTTTCGCCGCAGCAGAAACATCCTTGTCAGAGACCAGATACCCTGGGCAACGAAGAAAAGTCTCTGTAATTTCTGCATGTCCGTTATACACCGCACGGGACACGGGCGGGTATTTCATGCGGTACGAGATAGGCTTGCACCCCATATCAAGCAGTTGTTGAGTAAGAGACAAATCTCCAGTCTCTGCTGCCACCGCAAGCAGATTGGATTGCCCAAACGGAGTAGTGGCTGCGAACTGTGTTTCCAGGTCGATTCTGGCCAGTATCATCTGAACAATGTGTGGATTTCCCCATGGAGACGGCCAAGGGTATGGATATGCATCGCGGAGACAAGGTTTCAATATTGATTTCCAGCCGATGATGCTGACGGCATCGACAAGTTCGGGAGGTACATCGTCTAGGAAGAATGACGCTATTTCTTCATGGCCCATATTTAGGGCAGTCTCGAGAGCCGATGGAGGACCATGTTCGGAGATATGAGCTAAAGGTGGACGGGTGAAGTCAGCACCGCAGTTGACTAGGTACTTAACAATCTCTAAATGACCTGAGGTTGTGGCAGGATGGAGGAGACCGAGTGCCAAATCTTGCGTTACATCTTTGCAATTGCACAGCTCAACTAGATACTTAACCACCGGCAAATGGCCCCCCATAATCGCAGATTGTAATACCACGTTATTTCTCCCCATGTTGTCAATGTGGCCCACTTGAGCACCCTGAGCTATCAGGAACTTGACTATATCCAACTGACCACGTTTGGCTGCGTGGCCCAGAAGATGCGAGGATCGACCAGAAGATCTTGTAACGATTGCAGGCAAATTGTCAATAAACAGTTGAAGAATCTCCACATGGCCATTTCCTGCTGCGATCGTCATGGGAGACTTTGATTCAAGTTTGTTGGAACCATAGAGGAAATATTTCTTCCACCAAGATTCCGGTGTTTCCAGAAAATCAAACAATCTGTAACCAGCAGACACTAGTCTGCGTAGAGCACTTGAATTACCGGTCTCCACAAGGCGCAGAATATTAGGTTCACAACTATTCGCAAATATTGAGTAGAGCTGAGGGTCGAATATGGTGTGGAACAGGCGACAAGCCTGTGACAGTGCATTTAAATCCGATGCATATTCAATATTTTCAGTTACGCAGAGTAGGAGCTCCAAGGGTAATGAAAACAGAGACATTTCTGTTTACGTTGTAGTTGAGTCAGGAGTTGTTTCTTACACAGGGTGATTATACATTTCCTATTCCGGATACACGTGACTTGGTCCTTCTTCCTAAGGCATCAATGACGCTAACCTCCGACTCACCGACCTGCCAGATAATCTGCCGTCCTTATCTTCCCCCAGACAGCCCCAACATCAACAAGTGTTTGAACAGCCTAGACTGTGCCTTGTTATTTCAGGATGTACCAGATGGGCGAATGCCATTGTTAATAGAACAAACTACACCAGCGTTGCCTTATTATCCCTTTTTCACGTCCTTTCGGCTTCGAACATAGCTTGATCACCTGTCGCGAGCCAAATTCAACTGATACAAGCTAGAGATCTACACTTTCTGATGGCATGACCGGCGATACTACAGGATCGCGGATATTTTAAAGGAATACGTTGGCTTGTCGCGGGTTTCTGGGTCAGAATGAGCCCTGCCACAGATCCCAGTGAACCTCCGTCACAACGGAAGATGACCGAGCATGGCATCGAAAATGGAACCAATGGGAGCCTGAAGGTTGAGAAACAATCATTTTTCAATCCTATGGAGGGTACACGCAGTCGAGTAGATACTCCTGTGGCACAGTTCAACAGCGAGGCTGACCCAACCAATGGAAACGATGACACAGATGGACAACGGAGACATGATACGACCTCGGAGCGGCACCTTACCAACGGAGGACATAAAATCGCAGACTTGGAACCTGGGCAGGGACTCGGCATCCTAGTCGAGCACTCACCGAACAACGGTGATAATGTTGGCCAGTTGTCGGTAGTGGATGTATACGATGGCCCAAAGGTCAAGGCTGTTTTGGCTGAGTTGTCTAATGATCCGTCTCACCGACTACTGGAGGATAAAGATAAAACCATGAAGTTGTCTCCTAAGAAGATCCAGGCGCTCACCTCCTCCCCAGAGTCAATACCTTACCGTCCCGTGGGATCAGAAACGAACACTGGAAGGCGAGTCGACTCGGACAATATCCATGGGAGTGCTCCCCTCGTGCCACCGGAGATACCAGAGTTTGTGCTTCGGTCACTGAGCGAAAAGCCTTCATCCTCAGATGTTTTGCCAAAGTTGCGGCCCACTAAAGAAGTGCTGCTGGGAGATGCTTCTATGCCGGCGAGTCCCGCCTTACAACGAATTACTCAAACTCCCTCCCTCCGCAATAGGCCGCACCCTTCACGAACAGTTTCCACCCCTGGCTCCACGCGGCGTCAATTGCCTGTGACCCCAGGTAATGACCGTCTGACCCAGACATGGGCATCGCGCTCGAAACAGGACCGACCCGCGCTGGACCGCGAGTTGAAAAATCACCTTATCGCATCACCTCAGATTATAGAATCGGCCGTGCCTTCACCCTTACCGTCATCTATCCCTTTGCCGCCAGTTTCTCTGCCAACGTATCTTCAACTCGAGCTTGCTTCTGGTCGACCTTCACCACTGTACATACACCGTGACGCAGCCAGCGACTTCCCCTATGAGTCATCAGCAGTTAAGATTGAGAGGCTTATGAACTTTATTATGCTTGCACCTATGCTCGAGCAGGTACTTTGCTTTGGCAGTCTTGCCTGCCTTGATGCATGGCTTTACTCTTTCACCATAATGCCACTGCGGTTCATCAAGGCCGTGTATATCTTGGTCGAGTCATGGGTGATGAACCTGGGAGCCGAAATCCGCTTCATTTGGAAATTTGTGCTGAATGGGATTGGTCGAGTATGGCGCAGGAGGAATCACAATGCGAAGGAGGACGAGCGTGGAAGACGCGAAAGCGAATCTGACGCCACTCCTCACCTGCCTCCGGGCTCCTCTTCTGGGCCAGACATAGCGCCAAGAAGGAAACACCGGTCCTCCGAATCTCGCAAATATCATCATCGGCGGAAGAAGTCGATGCCGTCGGCGCTACTTCCAGACGATAAAGCGGATATCCTGACAGGCCTGCTGATGATAGCTACCTGCTGTATTCTGATGTACTTCGATGCAAGTCGAATGTACCACTGGATTCGTGGACAGGCTGCTATCAAGCTATACGTTATCTACAATGTGTTGGAGGTCAGCGACAGGCTCTTGGCTGCCATAGGCCAAGATGTCCTGGAGTGTCTCTTCTCGCGGGAGGCTCTCGAGCGTCGTCCGGACGGCCGAAGCAAGGTCATCCGTCCATTCTGGTTGTTCCTGGTGGCACTGGTTTACACAGTATCCCATTCACTGTCTCTGTTCTACCAGGTCATGACTCTGAATGTAGCAGTGAACTCATACTCCAACGCACTGATCACGCTACTACTATCAAACCAGTTTGTGGAGATCAAATCTACCGTCTTCCGCAAGTTCGAGAAAGAGAACCTCTTCCAGCTTACCTGCGCGGACGTCGTGGAACGATTTCAACTATGGCTGATGCTTACAATCATCGCTTCGCGCAATATCGTGGAAACAGGTGCATTTAATTTCGTCGGCAACCTCGGGTTGGCATCTAGTTTCCCAGGCCAGTCCTCTACAATCACGAACAGCACACCGTTATCCACACCCCCACGCACAGCATCATCCATCCTTCCCCAAGCATTCACCCTCTTCCCATCCTCAATCCTCTCATCGTTCAACAGCGTCAACTCTTTCATCCCAACCCTAGCCCAAGTCCTAGGCCCATTCCTAGTCGTTTTAGGCTCGGAGATGCTAGTAGACTGGTTGAAACACGCCTATATCAACAAATTCAACAACAACCGCCCAGCAATCTACAGCCGATTCCTCGATGTCTTAGCAAAAGACTACTACACCAACGCCTTCGGCGAACAAAACCTAACCCGTCGCATCGGCCTCCCAGTCATCCCCCTCTCCTGTCTCTTCTTCCGAGTCTCCGTGCAAACATACCAAATGTTCCTAGCAGCCCTCCTCCCCCAACACCCATCCTCGACAGCAATGGGCGCAACCTCCCTAACTTCAATTCACAACAACTACGCCCCCTCCCCAGTCCCCTCCGCCCCACCCTTAACGCTCGCAACCTTCCTCCCGGCCTCCGCCGCACACGTCAGCGCGCTCTTCCGCACCCTCCTCGAAAATGCAATCCCGTCACCAGCACAGTCTGTCCATATCTTCACCGGCATCTTGCTACTGACGGGATTCATCGTGCTACTCATCTTGAAACTCCTACTGGGAATGGCTCTACTTGCATTTGCGCGTTCCCGATACAGTAAGATGAAGCGTCGGGAGAGTGAGCGGAAACAGTCCTCGAATAACCAGTCTGGTACTGAGAGTGGGATACCTCGTACTCGGGATTATTATGTTGAGGGGAGTCAGCGTGTTGGTGGGTGGGGTGTTGTTGAGGTTGGGGATGAGAAGAGGAAGTTGATTTATGCGGATGATCCAGATGGGTTGAGGAAGTTGAAGGAGAAGGAGGAGAAGGATAAGAGTAAGGATGGGGAGTTTAATGTTGACCATGTACAGCGGTATGAGATGATCGCTAAGAAGATTTGGTGATTGGGTGTTTGTTGTGGATGGTGGAAGGTGTCCACGAGTTGAGTGTAACTTATTATTCATAGCTGTATAATACTTCATAGCTTTACTTTACATTCTGTTGACTCATGGAATCGTGTAGTAAAAGGAGATATCAAGATTACTTCCGAGCTACTTGCAATCTATACTTTGTAGTAAAAAGGGAGATAAAAGGTATCAATTCATGTCATCGGGAATAAGAATTTAAGGAAGGATATCAAAGTAAGGTGAATAAGGGTATTTACAAGACCTCGAGAGGCTGGCTGGTCGTGATCAGTATGAGAGAGTGGACCGGTCATCAACCACAGGAGAGCCAGCTCCTGGTTTTCATCATAATAAGGTGTCATAGCCTTCAAATGAACGCTATGAGGGTGAGCCTTATCAATATTGGTGCGTATTTGCACGATTGAATGTGTGCCCTGGTGGAGCGCGATGCATGGCCGAGGGCGAAGCGGTATTTGCCCGAGTATAGCTAGACGGAGCAGGAGGCCCCTGGGGGGAGGCTGGGGTGTATGATGAGCCATTGATGGGTTGAAAGCTGTATAGCCACCGTTTTGAGGAGCGGGGGTTGCTGAACTCATTGGAGTGTACGTCCGTTGTGGTGGCTGTCCGTATCCGGCTGCTTGTGGGGGAGGTGTGGGTTGGTAGCTTGCAGGGGTGTTGGTCCGATAGGGAGCAGGAGTGCCACCGGTGCTAGCCGGGGTGTTCACCCGGTAGGGAGCAGGAGTGCTACCGGTGCTTGCTGGTGTCTTTGTTCGGTAAGGAGCAGGCGTCGCACCAGTGCCGGCCGGCGTGTAGGACCGTGTAGCATATGGGTCCTGTGGATAATAATCTTGCTGTGTGCGAGCCGGGCCTCTCTGGCCACCGGGGGGCCCGTATCTTGCTCCGTATTCGTCCTCTCCGTCGTACGTACCCCTCGGAGGACCGTACGGGTCGTAGTGAGCTGGCGCATTGCCACGGTTGTAATGATCGTAACCATCAGATGAATCCATGTTACGGTTGTAATAATCGTGATCATCTAATGAGTCCACGTTACGGTTGTAATAATCGTGATCATTGGATGCGTCCATGTTACGGTTGTGATAATCGCGATCATCGGATGGGTCCATCTCAGCTGAAGAATAATGGGGCGCTGGGATGTGATTCTGATATGGACGAGAATCAGAGCTATCAGTCAGATTGCGATATCCAGGACCTGGGTTGTTACGACCATCATTGCTATATGGTGCAGGAGTCGCTTGAGAGTGAGGAGTGGCCTTCCGTGATGGTACGTTAGCCGGTAGAGGAGGGACCGGGGGAAGAGTCGGAAGCGTCGGCTTCTGCCCATCAAGAGGAGTGTATCCCATTCCGGCGGCATTGCCGGTCAGTGAGGCGGACTCGGACATGGCTGACGATGAAGTTCCAGTTCGGGCCAGTGTTGGTTTGGCATCGAAGTCTAAGTTCGGAAGTGTCGGGTTGTGTGTCGGCGCTGTCGAAGTCGATCGCGAGTAAGGCGGCAAAGTAGTCTGGGTGGTACTTCGCGATAAAGAAGGTACTGTGGGGACCTTGTCTTCGGCGAAAGACGGCAGAGTTGGGTTCGAATCGGTGGCCAGCGATGGCTGAGTGGGTGCTCGGTTCTGTAATTTTAGTCCCTTTGCCAGGGCCTTGTTGTTCTTGCGGTGCGTGATGCGCTTTAGACGTTGACCGACTTTCCGACGACAGTATCTCGAAAGAGTACCGTCTTCCGCTGGAATGTGGTGGAATAGGAAGATCAAGTAGAGTACGATGGCCGAGATCAACTTGAGAACCGATAGAACCCAAATGACCAGGGTGAAAAGCATACCAAACAAGACCACAGCTTGAAGGGTGTTGTCTTCGGCCAAAATCTTAACGTTCTTGAAAAATTGAGCAGCTGAGGAACTTCCATCATCGTGGGCTGCATTCTTTCCCCCAGGAATGAGATCCATTTGCATGACCGAATAGAGAGTGATGGCATTGAGAACTTGACGCGGGCCATCTGCGAATACCGTGTTCATCCAGACTGAAAAACTCCGTTAGCAATTTTCGAAGACTAGTGAGGCATACTGGTATACTTACACTGGAAAGAGAAGTATGCATAAAGAGCCACGTATTCTGCTGCTTTCCTGTCTTTGGTTAATTCAGCGAAGACAAGGAATCTCCTGTATCCACGACCCCGCCTGCCGAATCGAATACTCTGAATACGCACGGCCAGTGGGTCCAGGAAGCTGCGAGTAATACTACCCGAGCGGATGGCGCGAATGGCGTGTATCCATCGGTAGGCCAAAAGAATGAATGAAGCAATAATGCAGGCCGCGAAGATCCAGCGGGAAATATTGAAGGGAATGGCGGGTTCAACTCTGCCGGACCATCGAGAGAAAGCCAGCAAGTTGACTGCAGTAAATGTATCGACACCGTATACTGCAATCGAGATAAATAGGAACACCCATATGAAGAAATATGAGAAGGGCGTCCAGCAAGACTCGGATTTAAAGTCATCCAAGTTCTAAGGGGATAATGATCAGTATACTGAGCCATCTATACAACATATCTAACGCTGTGACGGTGTAGACCTACCACATAGTCCCATTTCTCTTCCATCGCGACATCCCCCTTCTCACGGTCTCCACCACACAGCATTGTGACAATTGACCTGGTCCTGCCAGGGAGTGATCACGGGTGATTGAAAATAATGGCGCGATCACGGACGAAAAGGTCGACTTCCTCGGGCCAGCCGGGTAAAAGTCGTGATCGAGGTTGGAAATAGGTGTAAAGAATAAAGAGAGGCAAAGATCAGGCGCAACGAGGGGAATGGTTGTATATTAACCGCGCGAATAGCGCATACCTGCGGAAAGCAAGGCGGGAGGCTGATCGAGATGTCAGATATCGAGGGATGCAAGCCACGTGTATATGATCACAATGAAGCGCTGGTATTCTGGGCGCGCATTGGGGTATTCAAAGCGATAATAGACGGACTTTCATTGAAGACCGCCGATCTCGCCAAGACAGGGGCACGGTGTGGAGAAAGAATGCTCAATTACCAGTGCCAATAGGAGAGAATAGGTGAAAATAAGGATGAAAGAGTGTGGCAACCTCTCCAGCTTGGAACCTGGGAAAAAAAATGAGTGACACAAATGGAAGTTGAGAAAGGAGAAGTGAAACGAGGGGAGAAGAGGAGTTCGGCAGGGGTGGGGACGCGGGAAGTTACAGGCACGAGCGGGTTTACTTTTTAGGGCTGACGGGGTCTATCTTTTTTTCATATTTGGGGGTTTTTTTTTTCTTCGGCTTGTTTGGTTTCTTTTGTTCTTTGGATGTTCTAAATTGGGAATATCCTAGGCTACCTTCATCAATACCCCCGAGGCTATTGATATAAGACCTATTCTTGGACCAACAATTCCTCTCACTATCACTGGCCCACTAAAAACCCTGAGACAGATAAGATGGGTCCCCCGACACTATCCATTCTCACTGCTCACTGGCCATCCGCACGCGCCAGGAGAGGGTCCGGTCCATGTACCTAAGCGCTGCACCCCGGGCGCTACGGAGTACGCAGTTTGATAATTTCCGACGTGGCCTTATGGCGTAATCTTCTTTTTTATGTTTTGTGTTATACTCTCTTGATCTCGGGAGTAAACAAACATGTTGATACCTAAGGTGTCATTGCCTATTTGAGACATCACATGATCATGTCTAACCTTGGAAGGGACAAGCTCATTTCCAAGGGAAATGCCAAGACTTGGCCTCGATGACCACTAACCTTCTAAGGGCTCCTAGGCGCTTCCCTACAAAACAGCGCAATACATCGAGAATGGTTAATATGCCCATTCCCAAACATTGCAAAGGTGAAACCTTGAATGTTGGAGCTGTCTACGCAGTAAGAACGGCAGCAATCCCACAATCGGACGGTACCCAGCCCCGAAGACTGTTCCAGCGCGCGTCGCGTTATATTTCGTAAATATTCATATCTTTTATGTAACTTCTTTTCGCTCAACTTCTCTACATGATACGACAATGAGTAGATTGTTCTTATTGGCTATTCGATCGTTATGTCCACATGGATTATGTTCCCGAGTTCATACTCCTGTCCTGCGTAAGATGCGCATGCCACTGCTTCATCACAACAAACCACGCTGCGCATTCACTCTTACCGCGCTCACCTCAATAAACACCGATTATGATGATGTTAGCACTAATTTCCTCCATGAGCCTCTTGGGGAAGTCGAAAGATTTAAGAACTACCGACCAGGGGGTTATCACCCATACAAATCGGAGATCACTTTCACAGTCGATATCGAGTTGCTCATAAGCTCGGACATGGATCTTACTCAACTACGTGGCTGGCCTGCGATGAACAATTCAATAAATATGTTGCCCCGAAAGTTTGCATAGCAAACTCGAATCCGAAGGATGTGGGCATTATATCCCCTCTCACTCGTCCTCATAATTCCCCAGTGCATAATGTTGGAAAGACAATGGTCCCTTCGTTTTTAAATAGTTTCATCACTCAAGGTCCAAACGGTAGTCAGACTTGCTACATAACAGCGATGGCAAGGGTTAGCCTCTCCGGGGCGAAATATGACTCGTGGATCCACTTATTCCAGCTTGACGTAGCCAGGTCATTAGCTGCGCAACTCGTTCTCGCTGTGGATTATGTGCGTACTAAAGAAAGTGGTCATGGGGGCACTCACCTAGGCAACATACTTCTCAAAGTTCTGCCTAATTTTGACCTACTCTCACTTGACAAATTATATGAGAAATATGGAGCACCGGAGCTAGAGCTAGGTGTTCGTCTAGATGGAATCCAGATAGCAATCCGCTTCCTCCTGGTGTCCCATCCCACGCTATTATGCCCATATAGCTAGGGGAAGCAAGTGAGAAAATCACACTTACAGAAGCCAGGATCTTGCTTATAGACTTTTGTGAAGCCTTTCCATCCTCAAAAGAACTGAGATACAAATCCCGCGCTCCCCTCGTCCTCCAAACTCCCGAGGTGCGGTTCGAGTCAAATAAGCCTCTATCTTTTGCATCGGACATCTGGACTCTCGCCTGTACAATATGGTCTATCATCGCTCAACGGCCGTTGTTTGAAGGTTTTCTCGCGACGAAGGTACGCCTATAAACTGTGAATACTTCCGATCCTGGGACGATTGGCTTAAGGATAGCGTGGAACAGCCCAGGCGAAAGAAGGGGATCTCGTCGTTCTATGCAAAGGAGAGAGATGCTATCTTCAACATGCTCCGGCCGATGCTCTCATTCAGATCAGAGGATCGTCCTACTACCAAGCAAATTCTCGAGTAAGAATGGAAGGTAAAATGGGATTTACCTGAAGATGGGAAGATCCAAAATAATATAAGAGTTTCTCGAATGAGATTGTATGATCTGGGAATTATAGGATGTTTGCCTGGACGTTTCGACCGAATAATGTATATGTATAATAAATCTCCTCTTAATAATAACTATCTTCACGTTTTCTGACAAATAGACAAAGTTTCGCTTATGCGAAGGTTAAATTTCCGGGGAGTTTCATTCCTCCTCTTCGTCCGTCCTATGTCCGAGACGGCCTATAGATGCACCGAACAGAACATAGCACAGTACGAGCAATTTGCAATATAAATGCATGGAATCGTAACCTCAAATAAACCCCCTAATTACATTCAAAATGGTCTCTCTACCAGACGTCCAGTCCTCAAACTCCCAAATCGCCAACACGCTCCCAGCAGGCCTCGTGGCCGTCTTTGTAGGCGCAACAAACGGCATCGGCGAAGCAGCCCTAAAAGAGTTCGCCCGCTCAGCCCGATCACCTCGTGCATACTTCATCGGTCGCTCACAGGAAGCCGCAGCCCGCATCACCGCCGAATGCCGACAGTTGAACCCAGAGGGAGAATTCACCTTCATCAAAGCGGACGTGAGCCTAATTCGGAACGTCGATGCGGTATGTCGCGAGATTCAGAGTAAAGAAACGAGTATCAACATCCTCTTCCTTAGTTGTGGAACTATTCGGTGCGGAGAAGGTAGGATATTCTCATATCCCCCACAAGAGAAAAATATAGTTGCTCATGATATACGAATAGATACATCCGAAGGCCTCCATATCATGCCTGCAACTGGATACTACGCCCGAACACGATTCATCAGCAACCTCCTCCCAAATCTCAAACAAGCAGCGGGTCTACGCCGTGTTGTCAGTGTCCTAGCCGGTGGACATGAGGGTCCTATCGATGTGAATGATTTCCAAGGAAAGACGATGTCCATGCTAAAGATACGTGGACACCTTGTGTCCATGACTGATATGGCTCTGGAAATACTGGCCGAGCAAGCGCCAGAAGTGACGTTTATTAACGACTACCCCGGTGCTGTCAAGACGGGGATTGGGCGCGATTCGAATACTCTTCTGGCCTGGTTTATGACTATCGTGCTTATGATCATCGGACCTTTGATATATATCCCGATTCGGGAGTCTGGGGAGAGGCATCTTTTCTTCGCGACAAGTGCTAAGTATCCTCCCCGTGTCCGTTTTGATGCCGCGGCGGAAGGTTCTTCTGGTGTGCCTTTGTCGGAGGGGGTTGAGGTTGCCAGTGGGACGGATGGTAATGTTGGGAGTGGGGTTTACAGTATTCATTGGAAAGGGGAGCATGCTGGTCCTAAGGTTGTGAAGTTGTTGGCTGGACTACGCGAGCAGGGGATGGCGCAGAAGGTTTGGACGCATACGGTTGGGGAGTTTGATAGAATTGTAGGGTCGACGGATGTCTGAGTTGGAGGCTACCTTTTGGTGATGTTGTCGAGTTTCGATTGGGAGCGGGTGCGGTATCAGAGGTATTCCCACTCTTCGTCGTGTAATATTGCGGGTATGCGAGTTAGAGCTTCCAGTGAATAATATATTTCTTCCTGTTTGGACAGTTATTAGTGAAATCAACTTCCACCCTAATCATTAATTCAGTTATTTCGGGCCTTCGTAGGATACATGTAATTGTAGCCGATCTGAATGGGCAATCTGTTCCTCCAGGACTGGCCTAGTTCGTGACAATCACCGCAAGGTACATCCATCGATCCCCCTGTGCATTCACCCCACAACGCACACCATGTATGGTGAGCTATTGTATAGCTGGAAGATTCTTTGTCCATGTCGTGATATACACCCCTTCTAGCATAGATCGAAGGCTCGCGAGAGCCAATGCCATGATCATAAGTCGGGACACAATACAGATCAAATTGGTGACATACAGAATGGTCAAGTTCACCCATCTTGGAACCCAGGCTCGACGGGGAAACACATTAGTCTTTGCGCTATCGATCAGACTTTTTGGACCTTCTTCGTTCATCAATCCGACCAGCAAGCTGAATTGAGATGGAAATTTCTCAAAAGTTGTTCATTTTTCTTTTTGAATGAACTTGAGAATCTCTGGACCAAGTGAAGATTTCAGTGCCGGTCGAAAAAATATTTTTGTATAAACGGTTCGTTAGCAAAAATATACTGTCGAATATCACATTGCAGGTCTGGGTCGAGTTTGACGACAAATATGATGGATCGTTCTTTTTGGAAACAGGGTATGAATTGCCTCTCAAGCTCAGTTTCAATGGCACAGGGGTATGACTGAAAATCACATAGGCCGTGGAAGGGTCTCTGATGGGCATATATGTAA